GGCGATCCTCTGGTGCTGTCATTACATCTATCCATTTCTAAATACATTGATAAAGCATAAAATGAACACGACATGCATGAGGGAAGCGAAAAAAAGGTGACGCAACGAAACCAACAAGTGATTAAGTTACGTCGCCGGGTTTTGTTACTTTGTTGTGAAAAATGCTACACACAAAGGGGAAATCGACACGAGGGTAAAAATGACAAGGAAAACTTATCCTACCAGCTACAATGTCGGTTACCGCGCCGCGGAAACAACCCAAGCCAGAAACGTTGATGCGGAGATAAAGAAAGAGTGAATAGCCATATGGCCAAATAGCTCAGTTGTTACCAATAACTTATTTTACTTTTTGTAGTATGTTTTCAGGTAAAAGAAGTACGAACAAGTCATTGAAAATGACACAGTCCCTGTTAAATTTGTGAAAGTTCTCTTTGTGCTTGTCATATTAAAGCGGAGGGGTTGTCACGAGCGTGTCCTTGAAACTTGAGTCCCAAGTGGCATATACAACAGATTGTTTATATATAGCAAATTCGAACATGTGTTGCGTGACGACCCCACCGGTTCAAGACATAGCAAAGAAAAACATAGATCACAAGTGAAAGCATGTCCAAGTTATCACATTTTAAACAAACAAGATGGCCACCAGTCAGCCATATTTGATCAAATTGCAAATTGAATTGACTGTACATGTATCTATTTAAGACATACTAAATATCAATGAATATGATACATGGGTGACAGATATATAGTAATATGACCCAAAATTAAAACAGCCATTATTCGGGCATCTTTGAAACATCTATGAAACAAAGTGACATGTATGATGTATGTGCCAAATACGAATGAAAATGGTACATAAATAATGGAAATATAGTAGTAAGGCCAAAAATTCAGATGGCTGCCAATCAGCCATCCTTGATCAGATTTTGAAACAAATTGACATGGACATGTATCCTAACATGTATAATCTATGTACCAAGTTTGAATGAAAATTGACAAAGCATGTCCAAAATACGGCATTTTTAAAAAACAAGATGGCTGCCAGTCGGCCATTTTGAATCGAATCGCTAAACCACCGCATGTGCATATGTCCCACATAAAGTACTAGGCACATGCAAAGAATGAACAGAATCGGTCCAAAGGATTCTGAAATATGACTCCGGACAGATGGACGCATGGACGGACGCACAGACAGATGGACGGACAGACGAATGGACGGATGCACGGATGGTCGGAGGACATGTATCCTAACATGTATAATCTATGTACCAAATTTGAATGAAAACTGACAAAGCATGTCCAAAATACGGCATTTTTAAAAAACAAGATGGCTGCCAGTCGGCCATTTTGAATCGAATCGCTAAACCACCGCATGTGCATATGTCCCACATAAAGTACTAGGCACATGCAAAGAATGAACAGAATCGGTCCAAAGGATTCTGAAATATGACTCCGGACAGATGGACGCATGGACGGACGCACAGACAGATGGACGGACAGACGAATGGACGGATGCACGGATGGTCGGAGGACATGTATCCTAACATGTATAATCTATGTACCAAATTTGAATGAAAACTGACAAAGCATGTCCAAAATACGGCATTTTTAAAAAACAAGATGGCTGCCAGTCGGCCATTTTGAATCGAATCGCTAAACCACCACATGTGCATATGTCCCACATAAAGTACTAGGCACATGCAAAGAATGAACGGAATCGGTCCAAAGGATTCTGAAATATGACTCCGGACGGACGCATGGACGGACAGAGACTGAATTATAAGTCCCCGTTTTCGGACTTCTTCCGAACGGGGACTAAAAAATGACTGTGCATAATGATGATTGTAAAATTGAAGGCTGCCTATGGCAATAATGATTGAAGTATATATTACGGTGGCCCATATATACAATTAGTCCGCTACATGAAAATCCGTCGGCTATTTGAAAATCGTTCTGCTACTTGAAAAAAAGTCGGTCGGCTACTTGAAAATTGCTTCGTTACATGAAAATCGGTCGGCTACATGAAAATCGGTCGGCTACATCGAAAATCGGCCGACTATATGAAAATCGGTCGGCTATATGAAAATCGGTCGGCTATATGAAAATCGGTCGGCTACATGAAAATCGGCCGGCTATATGAAAATCGGTCGGTTACATGAAAATCGGTCGTCTACATGAAAATCAGTCGGCTATATGAAAATCGGTCGGCTACATGAAAATCGGTCGGCTACATGAAAATCGGTCAGCTACATGAAAATCGGTCGGTTACTTGAAAATCACGGTAACACAAATTATTATTTTTTTAAAGAAAACAAGCGGGAAACTATATGCACCCCAATGAGCTAATAATGATGCATTTGTGTCTCGTATTGTTTAATTATTTTTAAATCTATATAACGGCATAGTGTAAAACTCGTTTGTATATTTACTAAAATCTTGCTACACGTGACGTACAATGAAGAGTTTAAATTTAAATCGAAAGCAATGAATTGACATAAACACGTCGCTCTTTAAACGAACTTTGCGAAGAAATACTACGCGTGATAATTTACGCATGTTTTGCAATAACTTGCATATTAGTGTATATTATTGTTGTTTAAGAGTTAAAATGGTATAGAAATCCATTTATGTATTATTATCACCACCGGAGGAGGGATACACGTGTTCACGTGGTTTTGAATCGTCAACTGGTTTGTTTCTACTATTATAATACGATGTCGTTCAACTTCATCTATCTAGTACTCAAATACCAAGTTGATCTACGCATATATCCGTTTTGGCAATTGAGATTCTGTCATCGTTTTTAATATCCGAAGT